CAACTCAGCACCACCATGCCCTGAATAAGATAAGGGGGGGGCGTGGGGGCCCCCAGCTCGTCGAGGGGCCCCCAGTTCATACAGTAATCTAGGGCCCCTCACTCAATACAGGGGCCCCCATTCAATATAGGCATGGGGGGCCCCCACTTCATACAGGGGCCCCGCTTGATGTGGGGGCCCCCAGGGGAACGTAGCGGCTGCTTGAATGCTGAGCAAAGCTTCGAGCCAGCAGCTGGGGGCCCCATAGGTCAAGCGCGGGGCCCTCAGGGTGCAGCTAGGGGCCCTAGGAATGTAGCTAGGGGGCCCCCAGACCGCAGCTAGGGGCCCCCAGAGCGCAGCTGGGGGCCCCCGTCTGCACTTCCGTCTGCACTTCGGCTGACGCAGGGAAAGCCAGGGGATAGAGTTGGCGTTGATTTTTTTTGTTTGTTTATTTTTTGTTTTTGTTTTTTTTTGTTTTTTTTTGTTTTTTTGTTTGTATGCAGAGTTATCGTGGAGACTACTAGAATACAGCTTTCTCTTTTTGCGGGCTCATGCACGACCAGCTGCTGCTGTGATTGATGCAGCAGAAGCAGATGCTGTTACACCTGAACGCTCGGAAACAGCTGCTGCTGCTGCTGCTGCTGCTGCTGGTGCTGCTGCTGGTGCTGCTGCTGTATCTGAAAGCCCTCAAGCATCTGCTGGTGGTGCTGCTGCTGCTGCTGCTCCCGAAGGAACATCTGCTGCTGCTGCTGTTGCTGCAGCTGCAGCAGCAGTACCAGCAGCGCCATCGAAGGGAGAGCCCTCAAGGAGGCCGCCAGCTGACTTGGGGGGCCCCCCGCTACGCAGAGGTAGGGGCCCCCAGCTGGCCGCCAGAGAGGTACGCCTGCGGCTGGAGTGTATAGCCACCTATGCAGCAGCACGGGAGTTCAAGCAGCACCTCAGTCTCCTGTGCATGCGTGGCCTTCGCTATAGAGAGCAGCAGCAGAAGGGCAAAGCCCCGAAGAGCAGCAGCTGCTGCTGCAGCAACAAGAGCACCAGCTGCTGCTGCAGCAGCAAGAGTAGCAGCTGCCGTAGCAGCAACAAGAGCAGCAGCAGCAGCAGCAACAGCAACAAGAGCAGCAGCAACAGCAACAGCAACAAGAGCAGCAGCAGCAGCAACAGCAACAAGAGCAGCAGCAGCAGCAGCAACAGCAACAAGAGCAGCAGCTGCTGCTGCAGCCACAAGAGCAAGCGAGCAGCAGCTCGTCAATGCCAAGCAGCAATCCGTCTCTGCTACTCAGCGTTGATGAGAGCCACTCGCTCTCAGGTTCGCGCTGTGTGTCGCCTGCGCCATCCCCCTACACCTACAACTCCTGCTGCTGCTGCTGCTGCTGCTGCTGCTGCAGCAGCAGCAGCAAAGCAAGACTGCACAGAAGCAGAGAGCTCCGCAGCTGCAGGCGAAAGCCCCCACAGACAGAGCCCTCCTGCGTTCGTAGGCCCTCAAGAGAGCCGCCCAAAGGAAGAAGCAGCAGCAGCAGCAGCAGCAGCAGCAGATGCAGCAGCAGCAGATGCAGCAGCAGCAGCTGCTGCTGCTGCACGCGCACGAGTCACTGCGCAGCAGACACGCCAGCTGATGCGGGAGCTGCGTGCTGTGGCTATTCGAGCTGAGCAGGGCGGCATGCAGGGGAGACGTCGCCGCCCCCCTTCACCCAGGGGGCCCCCCTCTGGGGGGGCCCCCCAGCTGCAACAGCAGCAGCAGCAGCAGCAGCAGCAGCAGCAGCAGCAGCAGCAGCAGC